GAGAGAGAGAGAGAGAGAGAGAGAGAGAGAGAGAGAGAGAGAGAGAGACAAACATTGTACCATCATCCACCACATTTCTGATCCATCCGGAGTGTCTCGGCTGTGAGTCGGTTCGCTACGATCTAGACAGAGCTGACAGAGATAGAAAGAGCGCGTCAGAGAGATGGAGAAGGAGACAGAGACAGAGACAGGGACATAGACAGAGACACAGGGAGAGGCAGAGAGAGTATGGATGATCGCACTGAATTTTCTTTTCATGTCGACATGTGACACAGGAGACGCATGTTCGAGGAACATACGAAAACCATAAGTGTAGCTGTACAAGAGTTGCAAGCTTTTCGTTAGGTGAGAGTAAGCCAAGTTCTGATGCATCCGAGATGACAGGGGAGAGGGAATCCGAAGCAAACAGCAAATGAGTGCACTAGACACAGCTGTGGGTGTGTGTGTGCGCGCGCGAGAGAGAGAGAGAGAGAGAGAGAGAGAGAGAGAGAGAGAGAGAGAGAGAGAGAGAGAGAGAGAGAGCTGATTCTTGAATGGTCATTTGTTCATGAGTGCCAGCTCAATTCAGTTTGTGTCACTTTGTAGTATCAATCGGCTTCGCCTTGTGATTTATCCTTCCGTCACCACATCCAATTTTGTCCAATCATGCAATTGTATTTTCATCCGCGCCACCTTAATTCAAATCTCGTCACATTCGAGCAGCGATTGGCGTTGCCTTTTGGGTTTTCCCTCTCGGCACATTCAAATTTTTCATTGTATTGGGTAATGCATAGGAACCGAATGTATGAATGCTCGTGCAGAAGGGGAGCTTTGCTGGGCCAAAGAATTGACAACATTCAATGTCGGAATCACAAACCACACAGTGCGGAGGGCCAAACGAGCCATCAAATGTATAAAGAGGCTCGTGTGCTGTATTTTGTTCTCTGTGACGCCTTACAACATTCAAAGTGAAAATGCATAGATGAGTGTAGACGACGGGGGAAGTTCGGGAGAGAGGCAGAAAAGCATAGAGTTAGTTCGAGTCCGGATGCATCCGAGTATGCGGGCAGAACATCACACCACACAAGGCACAAAATGACGAAAGCTAGATATTCAATCACGAAACAGGCGCCCCAACAACGGAGACGTTCGTGATAATTGAAATCCAATGAGAAAGAACAATATTGTCGACGACAAACACGCTGGGGACATGACAAGTTCACCCGGAGATTTCCTGGCAGTGATAGCTAGTTCTTCTCTGAACCAAACCGAGAACACCCACCAGTCCATCACGGAAAAAATGAAAAGGAACAAATTTCGTCCGGAGAAGAACGAAATGTTCTTCTACGTCAACCCTTCTACACTACAGGATCAACAAAGAGATAGACGCTTACCTACCAATATCGCAAATCGCCAAAGCTAGTCTAGCTCTGATAGAGGAGATGTGTCTATGGGAGAAACCAAAAGGTGGACGTAAACCTGTCGCCAAACAGGAAGCGAACATCAACATGAACACCCCACAACTAGCCCCGTCGTGCTGCCCAGGGACACCTTTCACGATGACCTCGCGAGCGAAGTGGTCGAAAGTGCGACCATCACCGGCGGCACCTGCCACCGTGTTCAAAAATTTAACAATTTTATCCAGAAGTGCGGAGTAAAAAGAATCTTTGGATGACGAACACGAGAAAGAATCATAGATTTCCAAAACACGTCTAGAGAAGTCAATGGCCAAAAGGCTCCAGTGTTCGCCGTCCTTGTGCATTCGTGCCAAGACGAGGTCATGGGACAGGGGGTCGACATCTGTAGCGCATCTGAGAACAGCTGTCGGACCTCGTAGAAGCAGTGAAGAGGCGAAGGAGTTAAAGGTGTATGTCTTCATGGTAGCGGCAGTCCGGCCGCAGTCGTCCAGTAGCATCGCCATGTAGAAATTGACAACCTCATCGTTGAGCTTCACGGATCTATCCACGAGTGCGACGATGTCCTTGACGGATACCTGTAAATTGTGCGACGGCAAACGCGCGACGATGATAGTGAGCGGCAACCGGGAGCAGATAACGTCTTCAAGGACCGCTCTTCCATCTCGAGGAAACCCTGTTCAACAAACACCCGCAGCACACAGCAAGCACAAAGGACGGGGCACTATGAGAAAATGCCGTCCTAGCGGCCATGGTCCGAGGAACTGCTACTCTGTGGTCCAAAAAGTTCACGCATAACGTCACCCCTACTTCTGGACCTTCTACACACAGTTGATTCTAAACTAGCACTGTCCTTTATATCCCTGCAAGCCTCGAGAAGGAATTCCTTGCAGTCTTTTTCGGCAACACCCGCTGCCTCTGCAACGAGTCTTGCGCGGGAGCCCAATACGAGCACGACTACCCCTCTGGGAGGGCCTCGAGGCTAAGTGTCCCCAGGAAACGCATCAGTGACATTGCGACGACCAGTGCCTCCCGCAACCCGGACTGACAACCTGGCGAGGGCAGGCGGCTCCTGCGACATGGGTGTTTGTCCACGAGTTCGTCGACCTGTACAAGAAATAGCCACCCAGACAGTTCAGCAGGAGATCAACAACACAAGTTCACAAGAGCAACCAAGCAAACAGCACCTCACGAAGCAGATCGTCACAATCCAGTTGGCGGCCCACCTATACACCTTCCCGAAATCGACGAAGCAAACAACACTTCACGAACGGGCTGACGAGCGGGAAGAAAGCAGAGAAAGTCAGTGCTTACCAGGCCTAGCTACCACTTCACCAGAGCCCACCGACGGCAGTCCCAGCACGATTGGCACCCCTGCGCGCGTCGACGCGGCGACGACGTGCTCCAAACCCACAGGGAAACTTGACAGGCTCGAGATGTCGGCGTCGATGACCGTAGACGGTATATTCGTCTTCGGACAAAGATCGTCGACGTCCACAACATCGACAGGTTGTGTTTTCTCCATTGCCACTATGTCGTATTGTGTTGGGCTCAATGTCCCATGGATGTCCAACAACACCTCTCCCCCCCTTAACTTCTTGTCCCCGTACGCTGTGTCTTTGTCGTCGTCACTCAAATAGAGAAATCTATCTCCAATAGCGTCAGAGGCCTTCTTCAGAACGTCCTCCCCCATCGCCTCGTTGTGAAGGGCGGAGTACAAGGGATCGTCGTATCCTGGCTGAACTGGTAGCTCCATCCCGACGTCGTTGAGTGTCGGATCAATCCGGTCGTCGGTGGAATTGTCCTTGTCCAAATTCGTCAGTAGTCGATAATCCTCAACGCCTGCCAGTTGAAGTCCTTTATCCGTGTGCCTCGGATGAATCCGAATCACGGTCGTCGCCAAAGATGCATCTGGGAGGGAGATGTTCACAGGGTCCTCGTTCGGATTCCTCCGAGCCCCTGCAGTTTCCAATGACGCCGACATGACCACTTTCACCGGGGAGTCGCTTACGACTGCTAACTCGGCTCCGAGTGTGTTGGGCTCGACATTGGAACTGGTCGCCAACTCACCCTCAGTCCGACACTCCGCCTGCAGCTCCTTGTGGGCTTCCACGCACAGCATTACTGCATCTTGACACCGATCGTCTGTCATGGCAGACATGACTTCCTGGTTCGGATGAATCTGAATTTCATCGCCACGGTTTTCGGAAACCCGGACCACCTGTTCGAGTTCTGTAGACAGTTGTGCTCCCTTGATGGCACGGCCTTCGCGGTTCGGATTAATCCGAAATTCCTTTTGAGGCGAAATTGAACATGGTTCCAGCTTGTCGCTGCCGGACCCGTGGTATGTTGTCGTCTAGCTTCCTGGAAGGCACTGAGTTCCAGACAACGAGGTCGTCTCCGAGGTTCGGATTGATCCGAGACAATCTGCCAACCGTTTTTGGAGTTGAGCGAAGCATGTTCCATGCTTTGCGACACTCGCCCCGCCAACCGCATCGACAAACTGTGTTTCACTGGTGGAGCTAATCACAGGGTCCTGGTCGCCAAGCCGCGTAATACACGCAGGCCTCAAGTCGTTCCCCGTCTCCAGTGAGGTGCTGCCTGTTACCGCCAGAACCCCACCGTCCTCGTCGCGGTCGACATCGGACCCCTGCCCGTCTCCTCTGTGATGCTTTGTTTTCTCTCCGCTGCGAGGCTTCTTCTTCTCCCGGCTGCCCTTTTTCCCCTCTCCGCCTCCTGCGTGCCCCGAAAACCGCTGTTTCGTCGAACGCTGTTCACTTCCACCTCCGGTACCTCGTTGCCCGCCGCCTTCATCATCCCCGTCGCCGTCCTTTCCGCGAGACTTGCGCTTCACAACTCCTGCTAGCGTGGTGACCCCAGGCAACTCCCAACTCGCTTTATTGACGGGCTTGACGGAAGGGCGTAGAACGCGGAGGACACTTCCAGCCATTTATTTGACTGCAAGAACTCGAACAGCGTGTCCCCGTATTCGCGAAGAGTAGGGTCGTCCTTATTTCCTCGATTGACCTCACTTAATCTCTCCAATACCGCATCGTAGGCGCGAGATTTGAATGTCTCGAGGCCCCAACGATCGTCATATATCCACCCTCCACTTACGTCCCTCACAGCCACTGCCCATTCGCCGTCGAGAAGGACTGGCTGAAAATGGTCTGGGTGCCAGACAATATCATGGCCCCAATCTTCGGCTGTGGAGAAGGTGTGTTTGTCGCCCATGTGGAAGGGAGTCGCAGGAGCCTTGAGATGCGGATGGTCCGAAGGAATTGGATGGCCGGGTCGAAGACGTTCGGGCTGCGGTGTGAGACAAATAGGCTCCCCCGGCGAACTCCTCAGACGGGACAACCCACCCCTCTTGACCGGCGCTGAGGAGGACACGGGCGTGGGACCGCCCGAGGTAGGTGTAGCGAGAGGTATCCCCGGTTTGCATACTGATGGCGACTCAGAAACTTGGGCGTTGTAGAGGGTCAATTGCCCGTCCAAATCGAAGAGGTCGTCCTCAACGCTCTCCTCCTGCTCAGTCTCGATATTGAAGTCGTCCTCCTCACCGAATGCCAGCTTGTACTTATCCAAAGTGAAGTTCGCCGGATCGACAACATCCTCCTAAAAAAGACATATTCCAGCCTCTTAATGAAGCTCACAGCGCCGGCCCGACTCGCTCTGTGGTAGCCCTGGAGGACCGCAATGGCGACTTCCTTCCGCACCACGTACTGCGGGTCAAATCTCAACCTTGGTTGTTCGCCGTAAAGGAAGGAGTAGACCTGGCGCCTTTTCTTCGGAGTGAACTTGAAGAACATGTCCTTGTTCGGGTCATAAACGGGCTCGACCACGACATGGTGGAAATTGCATGGGTAAGCCTTGGACGACACTTCATGGGTGACATACTGCACGGTGTATTCGAGCTGCGTTGTGTCCCCATCCATGGCCAAGATGTGCCTTCCCTGCTGAAGCAGACTCCACACCACCTGCACGTGCGGCTTGCCCAAGAACAGCACGGCATCCGCCACACCTCAGAAGAAAAGAAGCTTATTGCACAACTGATTCGGATTCCGCTCGCCGTCCTTGTACAGAGCGCCCCTCTGGGTCAGGTTTCCGATGTCCGCGAAAGTCAAAGACTTGAAAGACTTCTCCTCCACATCCGTGGGTGTCACTTTCTGTTTCCTCCGGAGAGCGGCGGCGTCGTCTTCAGCAACAGCTCCCTCGTACACCGGGTGAGTCAGCAGCCGAGGATCCTCGCCTTTGAAAAGGATGTTTATCACATCCGGCTCCTCCCAGACGCTGTTTCCGAAATGATGCGTCTTCTTCGATGCCGTCTTCTGAACCCACTTCCCCGTGTAGCATCGGGTAGCCCCAAGCGCAGACAAACATGTCATGAAGGAGAGGTTCCGCAGGCAGGGGACGAATACCACCAATGTCCAGTAGTCCTGACAAACGAAGCCCAGCAACTCACTCCGAGACGCAAATGCCCCAGAGTCTCATTGCGCACGGTCCACAGCACCGCACAAGTCGAGCACGCAAGTGTGGGAGCGTAGTTGATGCCCTAGTTTTCCCAGCGCCTCCTTATGATCTTTGGCACTCAATGGGTCGACGTTAAACTGGGCCAGCGTCGTCAAGGCGCTTGTCCTTGTCCACATAATGTTGATGCATTCATCAACGCCCCGAGGTTTTTTTTTACCTTTGGCGCGATCTCCAGTGATCACCGAAAGGATGACACACTTCCACTCCGCCGGGAAATGTTGGTCGTTGACGAGGGCCGCCGTTCTCTTGATGTTGTTGTCATGTTGGCACCAGAGAAACTGAGGGCACTTGTTGACGTATGTGGTGTCCGTGAAAAATCTCCTGCTCTCGTTTCAAAGCTTGTCGTCGAGACCTCTGTCTTTGAACTCTTTGAACAGTTGTTTCTTGGACCTGAAGAACGTGGAGTTGACATTCCACTCCCGCTTATCCATTTCCTCGTACTCGAAGTCAACGTAGTGCCACAGCCTCAGCATAATCCGGTCCATTTTTATTATGTCTACCATCTCTTTGACACTGAACTTCCCCTGCTCGGCCAAATTTTTGCTACTCGTTTCAACCCACACGACGTTAAGGTTCAAAACGCCGTTCAACAGCCTTTTCTTCTCGCGGTCCGTCAAGTCCACCAATTCCTTCCAGCAATGGACATCCGGCTCTGGAACTTGGACGTAGAAAGTTTTCTCCTCCGCGCCTTTCTTTGGCTTCCCCCAGCCCTTTTTCAACGACGGGTCGTCCACCTTCACGTACCAGACGTGTTTCTTCAGCCCCTGGCTATCAGTCACAGTGGAGAGTCCTGGCTTGGCCACCTCCTCATGGGTGGGTGGCTTTTCAGTCCAACGCCGGCCGTCGAAAGCAAGGAGTTTCATTTTCGACCACTCCTCATAGAACTTCAACCCCAAAGCGAAGACGGAGTCATCTGCCATGGCCAGCGGGAGGTAGTATCGAAGTTTCTCAACCCATTCCTTCCTTTTCTTTGCTTCCGTTGACAGGTTCCAGATAGGCGTGTACGGCGTCTTCTTCATTGCCAACGCTATGAACCGCACCCACTTTCGCACCTCGTCCTGTTTCTTCGAGGCATTGCCGAGCACCACACGAGGTTTGCCCTTAAATTTCCAGATATTACGAATGTCCCGCATAGACAAAACCTGCAAGCGCGGTGGATTCTTCTTGTCTTTCATGTTGTCTTCGCAGCTGACATGGGCGTAGTCGTCGAACTCGTCGTCAGGGAAGTAGATCGGTCTGAACGGTCATTTGCAGAAGTTGTAGTTATCAAACACGGGATGGTCTTTCACCATCATCGCCGCCCTCGCGTTATGTTGTCCACACACAGGATAATACCGGTATTTCTTTGGGTGTGAGCTGTCGAAGTCAGCAGGCAGCACGCCACAGCAGGCTCGCCGTTCTCTGGAGGCGCGACGATCGGAGCGAGAACGAAAATGGGCTTCGTGTATCTCATGTCTTTACGTTCGTAGCTGTCGATCATAGCCGACGCGATGGTATCAACGAGGAACTCGTCCAAGGATCGATGGTTATACGCGTCTTCCCAGTCAGGAATAGCTAATATTCTGTCGGGATGGATATGCAACACGACGTCCTTCTGCACCCCTGTCTGCATCTCGAGGAAGAACACATTGTCGAGGTTAAAGACGTTGAGGTTAATCTCCACGTCGTCATCCCCCTCCCCGCTGTCGCCCTCGTTTGCTTTCTTCCCCCTCGATGATTTCGCCCTTTTCCCGGAAGACTCACCGGTTTTTCGCTGTGTCAACGAGTCTTTTGGCGTTTCATCCCCACCTCCAATCCTTTTCCTCTTCTCGCCCTCTCGTGTTGTTGGCGTCCGAGCACTCCCTCCTACCTTCCTCTGCCTTTTCAGAGCATATAGTCCCTCTCACTCTTCCTCATCCGGCAAGTTGCGCTTGCCTCCCGCCTTAGTCTTTTCAGCCGATTTCTCACCGAACAGCCCCTGCTCGGACACCTCCTCCTTACCGGCGACGTTCCCACTTGCTTCTCGTTCCTGGATCAACTTCGTCTGCAGTTCCCCCGGCGCTGGTCGGGCCCGGCGAGTCGTCTAATCTGACCTACGCACCTCTCGAACCTGCGGACCACCCGCTCGATCTCCAGGCGAAACCTCGGCCACCTGCATGCCACGAACGAACGAATCGATCCTTTCGACCAGACCACGAGGAGTCGTCGATTCTGAGCCCTGTCGCAACGTTCGCCATTGCCGCCTCCATGTGGCATCGACTCCCCAAGCAAACCGTGGCGGCGAGATACATGCAAGCCCGGTTTCAAAGGAGCACGAGGATGGTCGTCCTCCGAGTTGTCTGACATGCCCACCTCTTGATCAGGAGGCGTAGCTGGTAGGCCACCTTGACTTCCCATCTCCCTTTCAGAGCACTCTCCTCCCGCGAACCCAACAGGACCACTGATCGATGTTCCAGGTCCGACGTCCATGACACTGACAGAGGTACCAGATTTCGCCCAGACCTCGAGGAAGTCTGTGACGTGAACGGCTTCGTCGTGCCCCGGCGCTAGCGGGAGAAAGTGAGGCAAAGACTTCGCACGACGGCCGTACCCGCCGAACACCCTCCCGGCAACCTTGCATCCCTTTTCGATGTCGTCGACAGAACCATCACTTCTGTCGGCGCGAACGGCGACGAACAAGAGCGGCCCGCACGGTGGTTGCAACGGGTCGGAGCCGTCCTGGCTCGCCCAGTCCAAATACCAGACGCGTTTGCTGTAGTCGCACCACAAGTTTTGAGCACGTCGTTCTTCCTCCCCATCTCCAACTCCCCGACTCGTTTCCCTTGTCGGCGACAACGTCGTCCCTCGACGCTCCTCTCCGTGCGGGGCGGAACCACCAGCGGAGCGGCCTCGTCCGTGCGAAGCCATTCCCTGAAACACACGGAGGAAATGAACCCACATTCACTCGGAACAGTCAGCACGTCCCAACATCAACCACGACCCACAATACGTATTCTGTTATCGGTCACCCGAACTCCAAAAGAACGAAGTTCAGTCATAGTTAGACAACAGTGGTCCACAAGCCTGCACGTTTCGGATGAATCCGAGGCATCGTGAGCCATCCTCGTCACACTATCCCACGGTCGAAAACGAAGACCGTGGGATAGATCGGAGACATCTGAAGCAGGCGCAGTCGAAAAACCGATGTCGCATAGGCACGTGCACTGGGCAAAGCAACACCTCGCAAGAAGGCCCTAGAACGCTGATACGGCAGACGAAGACGAATACGTTGTCATCCTAAGTCGACAAGTGGATTGTAAAGTCCGCCGTAGTAGTTCGGATGAATCCGAGCTCCAAAACGGTGTGGACCTCCCCCTGTCGGCCCGTACCGAACTCGAGTTTTCTTATCCTTCTGAGTCGGTAACGGTTGTGACTCGGATGCATCCGAATTCGACCAGCGCGGTCCAGAGACGGTCGTCCACAAACGGCCATCTACAGCACGTGTTTTCATCACCAACCTGCGAGCACTGGGTTAGCCCTATCTTGCCGGAGGTTCGGTTCGGTTGAACCTGAACTTCGCAAATGAGGCTCGGATTAATCCGAGACGGGGACCGGCGGATGGACCCCACGGTCTGTTGACGCCCATCCAACCATCCAAGCTTCCCTTATTCCCATGCTGTCGTCGGATCCAACCGAATTTCGCACGGTGTGTCTTCGTCCTTGAGTATTTAAGACGGGTGTGGCTCGGATTTATCCGATTTCAACAGAGACTGTCCAGATACGTGCAACCACGACAGGCTGCGCCACGACGTACAAGTTTATCAGACCGTGCGACGTCGTGAATCCCTTTGCGCATGTGGTAAATCCAAAAATGCCACCGGTGTGGTTCGGATTAATTCGACTTGGCCGAGGCGCTTCGCTTTGTTGTCGCCCCACCACACACCGGACCTCCCCGCGATTGTCGTAGTGTGTCATTATAATCTGTGCGTCATCATGGGGGATATCGTCGTCGTCGTGAGTTTTGGTTTGTTGCTGCTCGCCCAATCCAAACAACAGACACGTTTGTTGTAGTCGCAACACAAGTTTCTAGCTCGTCTTTCTTTCACCGAGCATAACGATCTCGACTCGTTTTAGTTGCATGAATCTGAGGCAGCTTTCTGGAAGACGAAGACAGCGTGGTAGTTTGGACACATCCGAACTGGGCAAAGTTGAAAGACCGACGTTGTGACTCGGATGCATCCGAATTAGGCCGACCACAAGAGGAGGACATCGACACGGCGTGTTTTCCTCAATGACCTGTGAGCAGAGTGTGGACCCTATCCTGTCGGAGGTGTGGTTCGGATTAATCCGAGACGGAACGGTCTTTTGACAACGTGTAATTTCGTCGTTCACGTTTATCGGAACGTTCGGCGTCGTAAATACCGTCTGAGCATGTAACAAATCCGAATTTGTCGTCAGTGTGGTTCGGATTAATCTGAACTTCGCTGAGGTGCCTCAGTTAGTGGTCGCCCCGTGAGTCTTAGTGGGTTGTGACTCGAATGCAACCGAAATTAACAAGGGTGGCTCGGATACGTCAGTTGTTGCGCCACCACAAGATGGTATGGACAGGGTGGGTTGTCATCCTCTTGGTTGGTCAAACATGTCGCCGTCGACAATACCCTATGAGCATCTGATCGCTCCGTGTCCTTTCCTGTGTCCAAGTCAACGGAAGGGTTCCTCGCGGCGTTCGGCTGACGCGAGGTTTCATAGGGTTTAAAGATTTGAATTCACATTCGCGTCCTGTGTCTTCGAATCTTTTGTAGCAGTCTTCGGATTACTGATCTGTGATTGCACTCAGGGGGGGACCAACGTGAGATCGGTTGAGCGACTATCTGCGATACACAAAGATTGGAGAAAGGCAGAAGACCCGCATAGACACGGAAGGGAGACTAAGATTGATAGAGACGTCGACAAGGAGAGGATGCGCAGCGAGAGAGCCTGTCTTTAGCTCTCTGTCTCTCCATGTGCAGATCCTGCGGATGGTGTTGTCCATTTTGGAATTCGCAATGTGACCCAGTAATAAAACGACAAACAAAAAAAATTAAGAAAAAATTGTTCGTGTCCGCGAGAGGTAGATTGGCGAAAAATGTGAAAAATTCGACGAATGTGGAGGACATTTTACGGATACAGAACCGAATGCTGAGCGAACTGCACGACGCGACTTACGCAGAAAACGAATAAACAAACCGAGCGCAATAAAAATTTATTCGGCGAGAAGAAAGTCCATGTGCAATCTAGAAGAGACACGATTTGTGAGAAACCATGTTCGCGTGTTCGACAACATACGACTGAAATCCTTATATCGCAGTTCGTGAGAGAGACAACAAATTGATGACAAGCGAGTAACACTTCAAGAAAACATCTGAAGTGACGACACAATTTCGAAGTGCGTGTCGCAACATTCTCGGGCTGCATTCGTGGGACCCGTTTCGTTGGTGACCACTCGCCCCGATCAGATGGCACACTCACATGTCCACGTGACAGCTCCTGAACATGCGTGGCGACGATCAGATAAAGCCCCGCATCCATCAGCGTGGCCACACTTGTTCAGGACGTGACACGTGGACATCTGAGTGTGCCATCTGATCGGTGCGAGTGATCGCCAATGAAACGCATGCATTCTTGCTCCCGAAACTCCTTCATCTCGCCCCGATCAGATGGCACACTCACACGTCTGCATGTCATGTCCTGAACATGCGTGGCCACGCTGATGGGTGCGGGGCTATATTGCAGCTTGGCATCCTTTCTGCTGCTGCATAGAGCCTCACATCTATCAGCGTGCACACGCTTGTTCAAGAACTGACACGTGGATGTTTGACTGTGCCATCTGATCAGGGCGAGTGGTCGCCAATGGAACGAGATCCGCAAATGCACCCCGAGGTACGTTCGCGAAAGAAACAAGCCAACGCATAAGACGAACGAAATAGAGGTGCTGAAGACAAACTAACGACAGGGACAAAGATGGTAGTTGAACACGACGGCACACACGTCCACGTGTCAAGTCGTGATCATGCGTGGCCACGCTGATGGGTGTTAGGTTCTATTCTGTTGCCGCATAGAGCCCCGAATCCATCAGCGAGCCCACGCTTGTTCAGGACCTGCCACGTGGACGTGTGAGTGTGCCATCTGATCGGGGCGAGTGGTCGCCAATGGAACTAGATTCGTGAAAACAGGCCAACGGAAAAGACGAACGACATAGAGGCACTGATAGAAAACTGACGACGATGGTGGTGGAACACGACGCTGTTGGTTCTGTCTCGTTCTTTTGTCTGCGGTTGTAAGTTATGTTCGCAAACTTTGTGCGAACGACACAGACAAACGCAGTGAAACGAATGAGATAAAAGACAGAAAGAGAGATAAAGAAATAGCGCGAGAGAGAGAGCGTGACATAGAGGCGATCTCCGCCTTCATCACACGGCCCAATCAAACGTCACGATCAAATGGCCTCGAACGTCATAGACTCCCTATCACACATCGAACTCATGGAGAGAAATCCTTGTTGGATCACACGACACTGCTCGTTCGCGGCGACTGAACCCAATGTAATCGCCACCGCGTGAATCCCGACTACAGATCGCGTACATGTGTGGGCATTCTGACGGTCTACGCAAACCCAGCATGGCAGGACTTTTCAGGTCGGTGGAGATGGCGAGAGAAAGGGAGAGAGGGAGAGAGGGAGCGGGAGAGAGCGAGAGAGAGAGAGAGAGAGAGAGAGAGAGAGAGAGAGAGAGA